AATTCGGAGGGCGCCAAACTGTTATTGATGAAATCAGATAGATCTTCTGATGAAGATCTCTCAATTTTAACACCTTAAACTAAATGAAAATGCATTAAAAGAGTGGTAAAGAAAGTGGGATAAATCGAATTCAGATCTGAGGCTAGATCTGCCCAGAAACGAGCAGATCTGTTCTCAGATTTGTGGCAGGGCCAGTATAATCCAAAGCATCCAAAATACGATTTTAAATAAAATTAACAAAACAAATCAAAATGAAATTAAAATAATAAAATAAGAAAAAGGGGAAAGAAATGGTATCAAATCGGGTCGGATGACCCGGGGCTCTCGAGCCTTCTAGGGCTCGCCCATATAAAAAAAGGTCATCTTTTGTCTTTCTGAGTCAAATGTTTATCAGTAAATCTCTTCAGTGTGAAGGCTTTGATTTGGGATTTCATGTCCTAAGGATGGATCTGGTCTGTGTCCTAAGGGTAGATCTGGGGTTTCTCTCAGAGGGTTGAGGCTTCCTGATGCAATTTACAGGGTTTTCTCTCGTATATCTCCTTCAAGTTTTTCATCTCTATCTCTTATGTTTCTTTTTCTCTGTTAGGGTTTCTGATCTCTATATCTCTCTATGTCCTAGGGTGTTTTCTCTCTAGCGTTTTCTTTTTCTGAAGTCTCCTCGTTTCTCTCTCTGTCCCCCTCTAAACGGTCCCGAAAAGATGCTAAAAGGGGGTAAAAATTTGTTGGGGATAATAACTTCCTGTAACCAACCAACAAACTCAGCCAAAAACAGAGGTCTCGGATCTGGGCGACACGGTGCCCAAAAAACTGAAAATCTCAATTCGGGGCAAAAGGAGGTGGGTGACACGCCTAGTGTCGCCCAGATTTGGGACCGCATTATTCTAGTAAACCGAAAATCCATAGTTTACAGAGTCTACCCTATTACCCAGAACTCGTCTGCTTACTCGAAACCCTGTTCTGACCCAGATTTCTGTACATGCCCTGTTTTACCAAAAAAATCATTAAAAATAGTAAATAAATCTGATTTGATCCAAATTTTATTTGAGAGCTTCATGAGAGGCTAGAAAAAAACCCAAAGTAAAAAAAATGAAATTTGTAAGAGTTTTGAGTAGGGCAACACTAGCCAGGTCACCCACCCTGGATTGGATGACACTACCAGTGTCGCCCAAGTCAATCTAGTAAATGTCCGGTTTTACCAAAAAAATCATTAAAAATAGTAAAGGACACCGTTTTGACTCAAAATATTTTTGGTAGCTTCACAAGAGGATGGGAAATGCACTCAAAGTGAAAAATATGGATTTTGATCAAGTTTGACTTGGGCATTTGGGAGGCCTACTAGTGTCGCCCATAGTAGTGCCGCCCGCCCGACATGGTCTGTGTCACCCGGGCGAGATGGCCTGTGTCGCCCACCTCTTTTTTCCCCAAATTGAGATTTTCATTTTTTTGGAAGACACTAAGCGTGTCGCCTGAGCTACACCAGCCGTGTCGCTCAGATCTGAGACCTCTAAAACGCGTTTTTGATTAAGTTTGTTGGTTAGTTATGGGAAGATATTCTCCCCAACAAATTCCCCCCCCCCCCCCTTTCCAGCATCTTTTTGGGACCATTTAGAGGGGGACAGAGAGAAAAACAGAAGGGACTTCAGAAAAAGAAATGCTAGAAAGAGACAAACCCTAGCAAATAAAAAGAAACATAAGAGATAGAGATGGAAAACCTGAGGGAGTTACAGGAGAGAAAACCCAAGAAATTGCGCTAGGAAGCCTTAGCCCCCTGAGAGAAACCCCAGATCTACCCTTAGGACACAGACCAGATCTACCCTTAAGATACAAAATCCCTAATCAAATCATTCACACCGAAGAGATTTGCTGATAAATATCCGACTCAAAGAGACAAAAGATGACCGGTTCTGATACGGGCGAGCCTTAAAAGGCTTGGGAGTCCCGGGCCCTCCGGCTCGGTTTAGTACCATTTCTTTCCTTTTCTTCTTATTTAATTATTTTAATTTTAGTTTGATCTGTTTTGTTAATTTTATTTAAGATCGTATTTTGGACGCTCTGGATCATGTTGGCCCTACCACAGATCTAAATGCAGATCTGCTCGTTTCCGGGCAGATCTGGCTTCATATCTGAATTCGATTTGTCCCACTTTCATTACCATCTGTTTTTATTTCATTTTCATCAATTTAAGGTGTTAAAATCAAGAGATGTTCATTGGAAGATATGTCTGATTGGCTGCATTTGGTGTGGTGTCTTTCACACATATTTACAGGGAAGCTAATGGGATAGCTGATCTTCTTGCTAAGGGGGGTACTTCATGTTCTTCTATTCTTGTTTCTCACGATGTAATTTCCTTTGAGTAGTTTCTAATAATATCAATGATCTTGGTCAAAAATAAAAATCTATATGAAAAAGTTGTGTCGTTGTTGAAGAACTCTACGATTCATCATCTTGACCTTGAGATGTATTGCCTTGAAAAAAAAAGCATTTTAAGTTTTAAAAATAATGTATCTTATAATATATTATCTAGACCATCCATTTTTAAAATAATTTAAAGGTTTATAGATTTGCTCGATCTACACCAGTTTTGGAGCTTTAAAGATTATAATTAGATATGAAAGTAGATTTTTACGTCATCATAAGGTTTTCGACGCTAGAATTTCATCTTTTAGAAAGATTTAGAGGTATATCTTACTTTGGTTATTTAAGGTTGACATCTTAAACTGATTGCACCAATTACAATAAGGAGAAAGTTTACATATGAGATAGTCAATCTTATACTATAGAAGTGAGGTATCCCTAAAAAATCTATTGAAAAATGTTGTTTTGGTGCTAAAAATCCTCCAGTTGAACATCTTGAGCTTCGAGATACATGGATATTAAAAATATATAATTCTAAATCTTAAAATAGTATATCTTGTAACATATTATGTGGATCTTCTATTTCCAATATTTTCATATATTTATAGATCTATTTGCTGCACACAAGCTTTAACTTCATAATAATGGGTGTGGTTTCTAAGGCCTTAAATGATCAAAGTAAGGTTCACCTTCCAATAGCATCGAAAGATGTATTCTCAGCATTAGAAATCTTTGGGATGGTTTGAAAATTTATTTTCATCTCTAGTTATAAAATCTAAAGTTTTAAAAATAGTATAGACAGAGTAGATCTATAAACAATTGAAAATCTTGAAATTTGATAGTTTGAAAATGCGTTAAAAGATATACTATTCTTAAGACTTGAAATCCATTTTTTTCATGTACAAACATCTTGAAGTCGAGATGATCAATTTGAAGATTTTTCAGCATCGAAACAACGTCATCTAATGAATTTTTTGAGGTGTACCTTAATTTGATTGTTTAGAACCTCATTTTTATATAAACGTTTTTCATACTAATTGTATAAAGTGAGCGCTTTATGTGAACCCGTAGACCGCATCATTCTATCATGGTCAATGACCATAACGCCTCTACCAGCAATAAATCTCGTCTATCATAATGTATTTGAGGGTTGGAACTACTTGTGGGTCCTATCTAATGTATTTAAAATGTAGTTGTAATTGTCTATCATGATCAGTACACTACAAATGTAGTTGCTAGTGTCTATCATGGTCAGTACACTACAAATGTAGTTGCAAGTGTCTATCATGGTCAGTATACTACAAACAGTGAAGGATATGCTTTTTATGAGTCCTCCGACTCGTGTAGAAATGCGTCTCCTCTTTATGATCTATTTTCAAGATGGAAATATATGAAGATAAGATTCTTTTAGGAATTTATTTTCAAGATGGAAATATTTGAAGATTCTTTTAGGAATTTATTTTCAAGATGGAAATATTTGAAGATTCTTTTAGGAATTTATTTTCAAGATGGAAATATTTGAAGATTCTTTTAGGAATTTATTTTTAAGATGGAAATATTTGAAGATTCTTTTAGGAATTTATTTTCAAGATGGAAATATATGAAGTTCAGATTATTTTAGGAATGTATAATATATAATACGAAGATCATTAATATGTAAAATTAGATAACTTTTAAAAAATAATATAGTAAAGAAGATGAAAACAACTTCCTTCCATCCATTTTTAATATGTGTTTGATGCTTGGGAGACACGGATATAAGACGCAAATGTGGGATTGCGTCGTCCGTTACGTAAAACACTTTCCGATTGGTAAATATGGCTGATAATTTACTCAGGATCTGAAGCCTGAAATTCGGATCCTATATAGATCTGGGTATGTACTCAAGTTTTAGATTCGAATTTTGGAACCAGATCTAAAATCTAGATCTGAATAGTAATTTAGGGAATATAGGTAGATCTGATTAGGATCCGACCCGATTTTTAAAAATAATATATATAATTTTAGTGTGTTATTATTTAAATATTTATACATTTATATATATGATATATATAATTATTTTAACTTTTATAATAATATTTCAATTTTATAACCTACAAAATTAGAACGATCTAGATCTATATTTGAATATAGATCCTATATAGTTTGGGATCTGGAATCAAATCCAAATATTTTAGATCCCATCGAATCTACGTCTAGATTCAAATCTAATATTTACTTTTTGAATCTAACAAAAGATCAAATTAAAAATAAAAATAAAAAAAAATAAAAAAATAAAAAAAACCGTTTTTTAAGTGAAAATGGAGTCAAGACTACAACGTAGACCTTGACAATACTACCAACGTCACGTCAATCTTTAGACAATGATAAGCAACGAGGAAGGGAAGGTGAGGCCCACCGGATCATGTGAAGAAATTGGAATTGCTCTTTGCCATCAACTGATATACACTCGTGACCACGTATTTAGTATCCTCCCAACTTGGCCCGTTCGACACATTCCGATGGCTGGCTTCCTGCTCCGATGGCGCCGCTCCCTGAATCGGGACACTGGTTCTCCACAAACCACACGTGTCCTTCCCTCTCCACGTGTCGGTCATGGACAGCAACATTCAACCATAACTCCTCTCTCCACTCAAAACCAGTGTCACAGAATTTTCCAAAAATAAAAACAGAAGGGATAAATACAAGGAAAGGGTTGAGATAAAAGAGCGAGAGGAAAGGCTGGGTCATATTTCCGGCGATAAATTAAGGGGAAAGAGATGGCTTCTCTGGATGTTGCCGACGGTGTGTCAGATTCCGGGGCTTTTCAGGCTGCTGGCGATCCAAATGCCGATGTTCGGGGTAGCTTTCCTGTGGACCCCGTGGCTTCTGAGATCTCCATTTCAACAGATATAAAGGTTTTTTACTCTTTGAATCGGTGCCTTAGCTTCCTATTTTGTTCTTTCTTTTTCTTTTCTTGTTTTGTGATAGTTTGTTGGTTTTGTTACGCAGAAATTGGGAAAGTGATTTTTCTATGTTTCTGTTTTTTCAATCTGAAGTTTGATGGATTCATTGATTTTTTTTACGAGGATTGTTGTGGATAAATAATTTTTTTCAAATTCATTGATTTGATGGATAAATAATTTTTCAATCAGATTGATGTGGATTTGGGGAACAATATTACTTCAATTTGTTTTTTCATTTAATTTTGTGTTTTTTCTCTTATAATCTGCCTTCTCAAATGACCTTTTATTAGGACAAGTATACAAAGAGACCACTATTTTCTTGTAGAGAAGTCGGAATGACTCTTGTCCATCCGATTTTAAATGGGGATGGTTAAAAATGTCATTGATTAGATCTGAAGTTCAGAAAAGAATTTATCGACTTTTTATGATACACTCTGAGCCATCCAATTTTACATCTGATTCGCAAGTGGTCTTAGTATCCTCTATTTCGAGGTTTTATATCAAACGCATCCTTAATTGTTTTAAATTATTTATCACGCACATTATATGGTAAGCAAAATAAAAAATTTAAAAGAAAATATTATATATGTGCTAGAGTTTCTTTAGGCTCTTAAGACTTCAGAAATGAGTTATTTGCTTAAGATATTGCATGATCAAATAGTTGCCTAAAATTACATTCTTTTGGGATGTTAAAAGAAAAATAAATTGGAAAACCTACAATGAATTTTGAATTGGGTAAGACAGGAGAAATGAACAATAATTATCCTGATAAGAATAATTATTTTAAGCAGCTTTATGTTACATCGAGTCGGTCCAAATTTCCGCTCGAAAGGAAGGCTTAGGCTGATTTTGGGGATGACTTGGGTTTTTTTAATGCAGGAATTTAAATAATAAAAAATAGGTAAAAAGAAAAATAGAGCTTTATAAAGAAAAACTAAAATTCAGAAATCTGAAGGCCACAAACCTTTTTGCTTTACACATCTAAAGTTGAAATTGGGAATCGACCGAAAAATCTCTTTTATTTTTAATATATTTTATATGATAAAAGTCTATTTTATCTTTTTAATATATTTTATATGCTTATTTTGGATATTATATTTTAATGTTATTTATGTCTGATTAAGCTTGGAATCCTGAATTCTCGCCATTATGCACTTATAAAAATTAGAAAAATGTAGTTAGGCCAAATATAAATAACCACAACACCCCGACACAGAACTCAGTATTATAATGGGTGAAGGCAACATTCGCGAGATGTATGTATAGGATTAGGGCAAGTTACTTGGACTTGCCTGAGTAATTTGCCTCGGTCAAATGCTGAGTACTTTTGTCAAGGCAAGTTCCTTAACATATCCTCTACATATTTTACAATTTCAGGGTATTTTTGTTTTGTTATTTATTTTAAAATGTCAAGACAAGTTACTTAACATTGTCTCTACATATTTTAAAATTTTAGGGTAGTTTGGTTTCGTTATTTATTTTAAAATGTTTGTTTTTGGGTATTTTTAAAGGTGTAACTCAATCTGATGTATAGAAGAGAAAATAAAAGTAATATATAATTTACACTCAAGAAGGTGGGACTGAGCATAAAATATAAAATATACATCATTATTATTTAAATTTTGATAATGAAATAGGTTTTTCCCTAAATTTCCCATGAAATTTTTATCACAATCTATAATCATGGAATCCTATTATTCTCCATTAGCAATAACGAGAAAGATTGTTTATGAAAGAATTATTTATTCAATGTGGAGAGAATTCCTATGATTATATAGGAATTAGAAAGGTTAGTACAAAATAGGGGCCAAGATAATATTTCTCAATAAGGAGCTCTTGCATCAAGGGATTGATTGAATGAAACCATTTATTTAAGTACAGGTGGCCACAATTAATTTTAACCATTGGATATGAAATTTGGTGGTGGTGGTTATTCCATTGACCAACGTCACACTTCAAAAGACATTTTTTCAAACTTTGAGATATTTTTTTAAACTTTGTGACACACCAAATCTATCAGATTTTAAACCAGATGGTTATAAATAATTGTTATCTCTTCATTGTATGCAATCGTTGAGTTGGAGTGGGAGTGGGAACTAGGGAAGTAATCTCAATATAAAATTTTTGTGAGCAACTGTAAGGAGTGAGATCTGAGCGAGGAATACACTTGTAAAATTGTATTTGTATAATTGTCTAAAATCTTGCACTCAATATTTGTCCATACATCTGTTTTTTTTATCCCTTCTGAGTTAGCATCATACATATACTTTGTATGTTTTGCAATTGAAGGTCAGGTGATTGATCATCAATTACCCCTTCTCTGTCCGATTTAAGATTTAAGACTGTGGATGCCTTCGCAATGTATCAAGCGAACGGTACTCCACCAGATAGTCAAACACCTCATTTCTCATATTATGTGCATAACTGTAGGATGCTGAAAAAGAAACGGCTAAGAACGAAGAGGAGGCAGGCCAGACCCTCAAATCGGTGTTCATATTTTCAGGTGTTGTGGTCGCTTTGATTGGAGCTATCTTCGCCGTATCAAAGAAGTTAAGAGAGACATGAAACAAATTTGGCAGCCTTTCTGAAGGTTTTGTGTTTTGCTTGTTCTTTTAGATACATCTCTATATTACATGTTATATGTGGTTTAGGATTTTGTGGAGGGAATTGAAGAGGGGAGGGCCTTTGTAACCAGAAGAGCCAACTTTTGAATTTTGCTGAATTTCTGGACTTTTGACTGTGGTATAATAATAATCTATATATTTATCACTGTTGTTGGACTCGGAAGCGGACTGTGGCGAGGCAAGTATTATATGCTTATTTATTATATATATATATATATCCCCAACCATAACTACACGGGTCTAATTAGCTTTTTGGCTGTTATGTAGTTTCAACGGTCAATCTCATTTTTATGATTTGAATTCCGACAATCTCATTTTTTATTAAAAAATACATGTTTATGTTTTTTTTTTTTTTATTAAAATAAAAAGTCCTTTTGTATTTTATTAAAAAATAAATATTGCAATGGGAAAGAATTGATACTCACCTTGAATAAAAGAACCCCCAATTTTCATAAATCTCGGCTATACCTTTTTCTTAATTTCGATTATTTTTTTTTAAAAAAATAATCTTTACAGCAGTTGTTTTATTGTGAAGAACATTACAGTATTTTTATTATATAGTATAAAAATAATTATAATTTTTATTTTTATTTTTTGTACAACTTTTTATACAAAAATATTATTGTCATGATTTCTCTAAATTTTTTCTCTTCTTCCTCAATCTCTCTTTCTCATTCCTTTTTTTTATCTCTTTCATGCATTTTTTATTCTCTCGTCTATTTATCGAGATTTTCTATTCTCTCATCTATTTATCAATTTCTAAACAAGGTTTTTGACAGCTATTTTTAATCCGTGAGCATCAAATATGCACGTCAACATTATTTTGTATAGGTATGTCATTAAAATATTATGTTGTTTTTTTATAGTATTCGATGTAGTTGGGTTGGTTATTGTAATTTTTTTATTACAATATTGCATAAATAAGTTTGACCCTCTATAATGCTTCATCTCCATTATATATAAGTATTTTGAAATTTTTCAACCGTATTTTATATTTGTTTTTATTTAAAAATTTTATGCAGAGATTGAGTTTATATTTAATAATAATGGGTGACAACAAAGTAGAAATCGTTTTACATTGGTTTTTTTCAAGAGGAAATTTAATGATGTATGTATTTTCTATGACAGTAGGGACATGAAGGTTATATTTTTTAAGGGGATTTCATCATTTGAAGAGGAAATCTAATGATAGATGTGTTTTTTATGGAGGTAGTGATGTAAAAGTTATATTTTTTAAAGGGATCTCATAATTTGATTAAGTAATGGATCACTTGTCAAAAATATCAAATTATACTTCAAGTTCTATGACAATTAGGTATATTGATTTAGGTCACCAAATAGCAGTAATGTAATACGTATTGATGATGATGACGATATTGTAAATATGATGGAAGGGTCTTCTTCCATCACTATGTATATATCAAACAGATATATTGAGTTTTATTTCGTTGAATATCGATCACCAACAGTGCTCGGTAATGGTTCATCAAGCTTGTCTATGTAAGAAGTTTGTAATGAAATTTATTATTATTTTTATTTATCAATATTTTTTTATGGGTTAAGATAATTTTCATTTGTTCTTAAAATTTTTTCGGTAGCACTTCCCGACCAGCGCAAGTAGTTCAAAGTGAAGGTGCTACTAGCATAGGTGTAGAAGATGGGCATGATGAGCACGATTCAGAAATCGAACGGCATACGATATCGATTCGATAGAAAGCCCCATCAGAATTCACCTTTACGAAATTTTGTTGATGTAAAAGTATGTCGTAATCACCTTATTGATTATGTCATATCACAAAACTTCAATATGATGTTTATAAAAAGCAAGGAGAGACGTGTATGGGTGATGTGTACTGCATATGGGTGTCCATGGAAAGTACGTTGTTGGAGGGTTAATACAACAAACTTCATCAGGGAGAAGAACTTTATAAACATGGATTCATGTGACGGCGGAATAGGTAGGGTTTATCAGCCGTTTATCCAAAGCCACTCAATGATAAGCAAGATCAAAGGCCGCTTGAATGATACGCCCAATCTGACACCTGGGTATGTGGTTAATGATATACAACGTGATCACTGTGTCATGCTATTTTACTAACGAGCATGGTGGGGTAAAGAGGTTGCACAATGTATAAATGAGAGTTCCCATGTAAAGGCATACGAGGATCTCGTCAAGTACATTCATAAGATTCGAATCACTAACTCTGGAACCGTAACGGTTATTTAAACAGATAATCATGTTAGGTTTGAGCGTGTTTATAGGCAATAGTCCATGTTTGTCTGGTTTTATGTTTGGTTATAGGTCATTGATGAGACTAGATGAGACATTTTTTAAGGGAAGATATAAAGAGATATTATTGGCTGTAGTTGGGGTAGTTACGAATGAAAATATAGTTTATATAGCATATGCAGTGATTGAGAATGAAAATACACAAAGTTGGACTTGGTATCTAGAGCTTCTCAATGAGCAGTTTCGCGAGAGGCCTGATTTGCCAGCATTGACTATTGTATCAGATCGTTAAAAAGGGTGACAAGCTACAATTGAAAAAGTATTCTCAATCAGTAAATAAGGCTTTTGTATGAATCACCTTGCTGATAACTTCAAAAAGGCCAATAGAAATTCGGCACTTACAAAGCTTTATTGGAAAGCACCTGTATTGTCTATATCAAGCTTTGATGAGTACATGACAATATTAAGAGTGCAAATGCTGAGGCCTATGACTAGATCATGTTACAGCATTCAAAATATTTGGCAAACACATATTTTAGGGGGTGTAAATACAATCATCTTACATCGAACATCTCCGAGTCATATACCCGATGGATATTAAAGGCTTGGGAAAAGCCCCTTATTAAACTCCTTGAATGCCTCAGGGTTAAGTTCATTAGAAAATATTCAAAGAAGATGACCATGTCCAGAGAATGAAGCGACGTACTTACACTGAAAGCCCAAGAGGTAATAAACATGAGTAGGGATAAGTCCAAATTCCTTCATACAGTCATATAAGCACATGATGGTATTAGATCAATATAGATAAGATATATGTTGTTAATTTGGCAACACAAACATGCAGTTGTCAAGTATGGCAGGTTAGTGGGTTGTCGTGCAGTCATGCGATCACCGCTATAGATCATATGCATTAAAATTTTACAAAGTTTTGCGGTGTTTATTTCACAGTTGAAATGTACCGTAGAACATATTCCCTCCTCTTCAACCTAATGCCTGATGCACTAGCAGTGCCAGAGATTGTTTATACAATAGTAATGTCGCTGGCTGCAAGGCGAACCGTCCAAAGAAACGACGCAGACAAATAGAGTACAAAGAGATTAAGCATTTTAAGTGTAGCTGATGCAGGGTCGTGGGCCATAACCGAAAGACATGTGAATCAAGTATATGAAATGATGTAAAGAGGCTATTAGTACTAGTTGATTTTTTTTTGATATGTCATTTTGTTTCTTAATTTTTTATCAAGATTATTCAATTTTAAAAAGAAGACCTAATCTTAATGTAATGTGTTGGTTATAGATCACTTAAGTTCAATTTTTATGGAAGTGGTATATGGTATGTGATATTGTTTATAGAAGAAGACTTAATATAATGTGGTATGTGATTATTCAAATTTTATTAAAAAAATAAAAATAATTACAGTAAAAAAATATTCTTTACTATAAGAAATTATCGTAATACTTATTACGAGAATTTTTTTATTGTAAAGAAAATATAGAGTATTGTTTACGATGAAAATCTGACAGATCTTCTGACGTAGATCTCTCGGATCTTAACACCTTAAACTGCTAAAAATAAAGTGGGACAAATCGAATTCAGATCTGAGGACAGATTTACCTGGAAACAAGCAGATCCACTCTCAAATTTGTGGCAGAGCCAACATGATCCAAAGCCTTAAAAATACGAGTTCAAAAAAAACTAATCAAAATAAAATCTTAACAGTAAAAGAAGAAGAAAGAAAGGGTAAGAAAACAATACCAAACCGGGCCGGATGGCACGGGACTCCCGAGCCTTCAAGGGCTCGCCTGTATCAGAACCGGCATCCTCTTTGCCTCTCTGATTCAGAAGTTGACTAGCAAGATCTCTGATTGGAAGGGTTGTTTTGCCCTAGAGATGATTGAAAATGGTCAAGGTTTCTTAGGATTAGGGTTTTTGTGCTCTAGAGATCTAAGGTTTTCAGGCTTAGGGTTCGGGTTTTAAGATTAGGGTTTCAATTTTTTCTCTAAGTTTCTCTCAAGAGGCTTCCTCTCTCAAATGGCCACAAAAAAGAGTTTATAAAAGGGCCAATGATATGTTGGGAATGACATCTTTCCATAACCAAAAGATTCTCCAATCAAAAGTTCCATTTTTTGGGATCCGGATCTAGGCGACGCTCAAGAAAATATGGTAAAAATCACACAAAAAGGTAATAAATCGACCCCCCAATGGAAAATTTCTTATTTGGGCTAAAAGCGGTTGGGTGACACCAGTGGTGTCGCCCGGGCAGCACTAGTAGTCTGGGTGGCACCACCCGTGTCACAAAAATGGTGCAAATTCAAAATATTCACTTTACAGTGTTCCTCAGCCTCTTGTGAAGCTCTCAAAAAAAATTTGGAAATGGATTTTTCTACTATTTCTAATGAGTTTTTTAGTAAAACAAGGCATTTGCAGGATTCTGGGTCAAAACAGGACATCTGCAGGGTTCTGAGTAGGCAGAATGGTTCTGGGTCCCAAGGTAGGCTGTGTCGACTATGGATTTAGGTTTAGTAGGATAAGTGTGGTCCTAAGGGTTCACGAAATCCTAGAATTTGTCATTTTAAAATGGGGTGTCTATAAGCATTACGGTACCCAAAAGATCGTAATTCTCCAAAACTGTAGAAGCATTCCAGAGCATTTGGAGCATTACGGTCTTTTGAGTATTGTAATGCTCTATACTTTGTTTATAGTAAAAAAATTACGGTAATAAGTATTAAGGTGAGTTTTTTTACTATAAAGAAAATATAGAGAATTGCGGTACCCAAAAGACCGTAATGCTTTAAAAGGTGTCCAGAGGCTTTTGAAGCATTACGGTCTTTTGGGTACCGTAATGTTTGAACTTATCTTTGCGGTAAAAAAATTATCATAATTCTTATTATAGTATTTGATTGACCGTAAAGATTGGTTATATAATT